GGGGCGAGGGTAGGGTGGAGGGCTGTGAGAAGGAAGGTCAGGGCCAGACAAGACAAATTAAGTCCATAAGACAGTTCCAGACTCTGGATTTACCAGAAATGCAACCTGCCTGTGTTTAATCCACTTAGAACCAAATGTTTTGAATTTTGTGTTTTTGCTGTTGTTGCCCAGTGAACTTCTCCAGAGAAAGAACCCTCATCTGTTCTGATTGTAAACCAGTTAAGCGTTTTCACCACCACTTCAGGAAGTCTAAATTTAGGAGAAGATGGACTTGAACTGAAATTCCACTTTTGCCACCCTTTAGCTGAGTACCCTGAGCACGTTTATCCCTGGGGCCCTAGTTTCAGTGCAGGACTGCAAGGAGTGTAATGAATGAGTAACAGCACAGTATGAAGTTATAGGGTAATTATGTGAACTGACAGAGATTTGTAGGGGCTGGGGACATAGCTCAGTCAGTAAATGCTTGCTATACAAGCATGAGGACCTGTGTTCGGTCCCCAGAACCCATGTAAAAACGTAGACTGTGGTGGCATGCATTTGTAACCAGGGCTTGGGAGATGGAAATAGGTGGATCTAGGGGCTAGTTTGCTGGAGAGCTCAGCCTACTTAGTAAGCTCTAGGCCAATGAAAATAAAAACAGTCTCCCGCCCCATACATATACAGAATAAGTGGATAGCATCCGAGGAACCATGGCTAAAATTGACCTCTGACTTCCATGTGCACTTGTACATATGTGCATACATACCCTGCCCCCACATATATGTATCTGTACACATATGGACTTTCCTACATACACATTGAGAAATATGGAGAAATATGTGAGTATAGTCATATGTCAAAATCCTGGCTGTTAGTCTCTTCCTGTTAACCTTCATACATGTCTCAATTAGGTTTTTGTCATGAAATGAACTTAGTTTTGATACCATAGTAAGTAGGGAATGACTCAAGGGTAGGCAGAGCGAGAGGTAGGTCCATATAAAAGGCCTGAAATAATCACCAAGTTGGGTAATCAGTATGGGGATATTTGAGAGTTGATCCAGGTCAAATAGTGGGGAATGGTGGGATGCCTCAGAGGGAGATGGTTTAAGGCTGGCACGAGCTGTTTACATGCAAGGCGTTACCCTTTGTGGCCAGCACAGTCTTTGTCTTTATCAACATGTTTCCTTTCATCATAATTATAGAGCATGGCTGGGTGGAGAACGCATAAGAAGAGGCACTAATTGGAGTTGTGAAATATCACAGCAGCTCAGTGCCACTGCTGTCTCCGTACAGGCTCCTGTGATTGCTAACTGTCCTGATCCTGTCTTGTCCATGGTGACTTCCTGCTTTCTGGTCACACATGTTATACTTTTATCTGTTTATGTAGTCATATTCATCCAATATCAGGCAGAAGACCTCATATGCCCAAACTTGAAGCTCTTTCTATCTTCCTATGTACCTTAGGAGTTTAGAAACAGAGTTTGAAATGTTCTCCTCCTACACCAGTGCGATTACATTTCTTGGCCATTGCAACTTTTTTTCTCCTGAAAGTGGTGGTTAACTTAGTGTTTAGAAAATAGAAAAGAGGTAACCTGAAAAGTAACTATCTCTCTTGGGGAAACAGTTTTCATTACACACTAGGGATATGTAAAGGCCTCCGTCAGTTGGTGGGGTCAGCCATGTTCCTGGGTACCAGCACTCTCACTCCTTTAATTTTGTGAAATAATGAGAGGGTAGCTAGAAAAAGGTTCCAACAGATCCAGACATGGTGGTGCACACCTGTGATCCAAGAACCCAGGAAACATCTTCAATTTTAGGCTACATGGGCAACATAACAAGACCCTGTCTCAGAAAACCAAACCAGATCAAGCCAAAACAGAACAAAAGACTTCATTGTATGTCAGCTGTGATGCCAGGTTGTTAGTTACTCACTCTGTGCTGTTTATTGGCCATCCTTGCTCACTATGGCAATTTGTGCTATCTGTGCCACTACTGGTGTCTTTGCAATGAAAGTTTATGGTCTTGCATGAAAATGGAAGAAATGGAAATTCATAGAAATATTCATCTGAAGGAGCTGTTCATTTCTCATTGCTCTGACACCGCAAGTGCCCCAGTCACAATTGGATTTTCTGTGGTTTAAACACTCTGACTATATGGTCGAATTCAAATGTGTATGTGTACAGCAAAATTTTGAGTCCAGACTAGTCCTGAATGATGAATTGAAGAGTCACACCTCTTCCCTCAAGTATTTACTATTATGTATGTAGGAATGGGAACAGATTCACCAACCAGTTAATTACACACACACACACACACACACACACACACACACCAGAATCTGGCTGTGCAGACACAGTGTATTTTTCAGGGTAGTTGCAGCCTTGCTGTTCCGAGGGAAACAGCTTCTATCTTGAGGGTTACAAGGAAATAAGCAATGTGAAAATTTTCTGATTTCCATGTTTTTGAAGCAAATACATTGAGCAAGATTCAGGTTCTTTGGGATCAGAGAGGATGGAGCCTGAGACTGAGGAGGGCTGCTTAGACCTGTCATGCCTAATGGGTATCTGAATCCTGAAGTCAGTGAGAGTAATGGATGAATCCATGGAGAGTTAGGGACATAGCTTGAGGGTAAGAGCCAGATAGCTGTGATGGGAAAGTTGTCAGAGCAGACATATTTATTTATTTATTTATTTATTTATTTATTTATTTAGCATGCAGCTGGGTGGATGTTAAGAGATCTGCCTCTTGCTCTGATTTTTCTGAGTCTTGGCTAGGGAGTTATTTGTAGCATCCTCAGTGTATTTATTTTTCTCTTACAGGTGAGGGTATATCTCACAGGTATTGAACCTGGCGTGGAGTCAGGAAATAATGATGAGCAGAAGAGTCAAACTGAATGAATGTTGTTGCTGCCCTTGGTCAGTGGAAGGGTGGCTAGCTGGGTAATGACTTGATCGAGGGTCAGAGGAGGCTTTTCTAGAAGAGATGAGGCTGATTCTACTCTAAAATAAATACACCTTAAATAGGATTCACTGAGGGTGTCCTTTCACTGCCATAGTTCTTGAGAGTCTCATTTAAATAGCAACCAAGCTCCTTGTAGTCATAGATAGACTGATGGTAACACTTCTTTTATTGTCAGCGAGGTCCCAGGAGAACAGAGAATTTGATAGTTTGTTGGACATGTCAAGTGCCCAGGACACTGAGTGACCACCAGTTTTTTTTTTTTTTGATTAAATAATAACCAAAATGTACCAGGTACATAGATTGGTTGCAGTGCTTAGCACAACACTGGGGTGTATCCCCAGCACCAGCTAAAGCCAGCTTTGTGGCACACACCTTTAATCTCAATTCTCTCAAGGTGGAGGCTGGAGGATCAGAAGGTCCAGAAGATCCAGGTCATCCTCAGTGTAGCCTCGGATATCCAAGAATCCATTTCAAAAACTAAAAATACAAGAAAACCCCAAGTTAGAATTGGATAAAGGTTTTTATGTTTTTTTGTTTTTTCCCAGGATTCAAAGAGCTCTTCTGGGAAATGGTTTCAGACTTTACCTTTGTTAGGTTTTTCTGAGCCTAAGTTTTCTCTCTTGTATAATAAGATTATTGATAGAATTTCCCTCTTGGGACAGCAGCAATGGCATGTAAAGTGCCCAGTATCCACAACCCTCAGTACAGTAAATGGGTAGACAGGGGATTGCTGTTCTTGTTGCTAAAAGGCACAATAAAGTACAGCCAGCACACCTTAGTTTTGGTGGTTATGTTCTATAAAACCACCAAAACTGTCAAACTTGCAAATATTGAGTTTTTACTGGGGCAATTCCCAGAGCCCCTGGTCCCAACACTTTTTGTTAACCAATCATTGCATAACTGTCTTAAGTGCATTTTTTTTTTTTTGTTTAAGACACTGTATTTTATGGCTATTATTGACTAGTTAACATTGAGCTGACCAGTGACATTGAATCTCATGTCTGAATCTCATGTCTCATGTCTCCCCACCTGACAACCTCCTTAAACATGTAGCAGCATGAGAGGCAGTGGCCCAGCCTCAGGAACTGTTTAAGTAGTGGGGTCAGCAACACAAAATACAAACACGCACTGACAGACTGTGGAGGGATGCTTGTCTACAGTGGATGATGAGTTCGGAAGTAGGATGGCAGGTCCTAACCTTACTTGACCTCAGTTGGGAGTGTGTGCATTGTCTACTTGGATGTCTTGCTATTCTATACATGCCCACCATTAATTACAAGAAAGCCACACATGTTGATATTTGGCATTCCAGATTTTACTTACCAACTGAATTTGAAAATGGGGAACCCATAAATAATGAAAACTGACTTTGCTGAAAATGGTCTTCTTGCAGCTATACTCCTACAGTTTAGATGTGGTGGGTTGCACATGAGTCATGCTAATGAAAGAACTCGGCCTTCCATTTTTCCTGACCCATCACTGCTAAATTGTTGATATTCTCTGGGCTTCACTGTTCAGGTATAGTGCTTTTGACTGTGGTATAGTTCATTTTGTTCATTATTTAGGAAGATGGGACATGAGAGTCAAGTCCTTGGTGGGGCGGAGTTGGAGACAGATAAACTATGAGGTCTCTACTGAAGAATCCAGTAGAAGCAGATGGAATAGAAATGCTGGTGCAGATAGTTCTGAAGTGCCCAGGTCTGGCTCACTCAGGGCCTGGAGCTTGCAGGTGGTGATTTTGATTAACTCCTGTAACAGGAAACCAGCATATTAAGGTTATCAGCAGTAATTTTTGAAAACATTAGCTGAGTATCGGTTATTAGTGCTTGGGATTTTTTAGAAGGAAGGAGAGAGGAACTAGTTTCAGACACACAATTTATTAAAACAAGAAAACACAAAAAGCCACCAGTAGTAACATCTAGCATTTTTACAACTCTTATTATGGCCTGTATCTTACTTAAGTTGTAGTTTGGCTTGCCTTTCTTGTGTGTTTGAGTACTATAGTCCTATAAAATGTGTGTGTGTGTGTGTGTGTGTGTGTGTGTGTATGCTTGTGTACATGTCACTTTTGTCCTGGGATGAGGACGACTACCTTTGTTATTTTCTCCTACACTTTTCTGTGTTAGAAATTGAACTACCAAGAATGAATAACTTATACCTTTGTGAATTTTGAAAACATCAAATGATATGCTACCCAACAAGTATGGTGTGAGATGTTAAAATTTTTTTTTGTTTGTTTTTTAGAGACAGGGTTTCTCTGTATTGTTTTGGAGCCTGTCCTGGAATTTTCTTGGTAGACCAGGCTGGCCTTGAATTCACAGAGATCAGCCTGCCTCTGCCTCCCGAGTGCTGGGATTAAAGGTGTGCACTGGCCAATCTCCTGTGAGAATTTATAATGTAATTCTCACATTAGATTGGTGGGCGTCCATTTTATAGTTGAAGAAATGGAGACTTGCCTATCTTCTTGCCCTTGGAGATGCTAGGCCACTCAAATGAAGATGACATCAAGATTTAAACTTAGGACTGTCCAATTTGGGTGCTCACTTTTCTCCACCACTTTATGGTGGGTGCTGGCTGTGTTGTGGTTCAGAGGGAGTGGCAGGTGGTGAGCAAGGGTGACAACTCATTGCTTTTGGAATGGAAAGAGGACTAGGTTTCTGATGAAGTAAAGACCAAATGACTCAGGGTGTGGCTGAACATTTGAATCCAAGATAAATAGATCTGTGTATGAAAGGTGCTCGAAGCATGCCTGGATAGAAAGCTCTTTGTCTTCCAAGTTACTTCTGAAGGAGGAAGGGGAGATAGGTTGTGATAGCTCCCACAGAAGATAAGATGTTGGCCCCTTAATCATTCTCAAGGGTATGGTGGGTAAGTTGTACATTTCCCTGGTTATTAAAGCTGTTCCTTGAATGTTGCTTCCTGATAGCTTCAAACAGACTTCATATTCACATACCCAGCATCGTGTTCCTCCACTGAACATGTACTTCCTAATGTCTTGATGTTTTTCACTAATTTCTCTTACCCACTGCCCCCCCCCCAAAAAAAAACCTTGCTAATTGCTTTTCTTGTGTGCCTTCATAAAGTTGTAGCCAGTCTGTTCCCTTTTGGACTGTTTATCTTTGACATGCCAGAGTTCTTGAAACATCATAATGTTGTGTAATGAGCATAACTTCTGCCTTGACATGTGGGTGTTAAGAGCGTTAGTCATTGTAAAGTATTGAGTTAAATATTTTCAATAAAAGGTTGTAATGATCTAACAGAGAGGAAAGAAGCCATAAACCTCCCAGTTGATGGCTTTAATGGTGAGCCATGTACTTAGTGGGTTTCCCAAGCAAGTTTGGATCCATAGCATAGAAGTGCAAACCTTCTTACTATGCATAGCAAGAGAGGAGAGAGCTGGACAGTTCAAAGGGACTTCATTGTCACACATGAAGAAAAGCACCAACTGTTCAGGTTCTGAGAGCTCTTGCTCCCCCAGTCTTTATCTGTCACATATCTTTAACTCCCACAGGAAATGTTAAAGTCTTCTGGGAGACGTTATCAATAGGGACTCCTGGGCTGAGTCTTAAGCCTCATTAAAGGCCCTTAGGTTTGTAACAATGACCAGTCAGTGTTGGAGAGCCACCAGGAGTTCTCCATAGTGCTGTGGAGAGCCAGCCTCTTTGTGAGTGAATGAAAAACGCCTGCACCTACCAAGCTGGCTTTATGAAGAGTTTTGGGCAGCATTACTCATTATGAAACTATGTTCCTGTTGCCCTGGTTTATCTCCACAGACATCAGTCCATGGCAGAAGGTTGACTACTTGTCTCTCCGTGTCTCTGGGCATCTGAAGATGGTTGAGGTACATTGCTTTGGTCCTTTGTGGGGAGTGCATTGTGGGCATTGGCCTTCTGGAAATCTTGTCTAGATAGTGTTTTGGTAATTGGTTTGTTACAGTGATGGGCTGTCTTGTTCTTCGGGTTGGAGGTTGACCTGAGATCGTGGGCTACTCCTCTTTTTCCTTGCCAGAGATCTTCAGTTGTTGTTGTTGAGGTTGTCAAACAACCTCAAAGCTATGTACCTTTTCCTTCCTAGAGAGTTTGCAAACAAGGGGATTGTTTTCTTGTCTGAGCAGTGTCTGTGGCTGCTGCTAAGATATCCCGGCACTTGATATATTCAAAGGAGGTTTGAGTCTAAGCATATCTGTTTCTTGAAATAATTTTCTCTTGTAGTATGGTGTCTTGTATATATTGATCATGATTTTCATGTTCTAATAGGCAACTGATGACATTTCTGGTACTGGAGGTTTTGTGGAGGGGTGATCTGTTTTCATTGTTTATGTTTGTGTCTTTTCCTTACAAGCATTATTGAGCTCTTGTCCCCCTGGATAAGACATTGCATTTATTTGTCTTCACCGTTCCCTGAATCTATAGATAAGGACACACTTTTGAATGGGAGCCCAGGAACCTGTTGATGTAAAGTGTCTTCTTACCTTTTATGATTATCATCGTTAGCACCTCCCTCCTTCCTGGCTGGGTTCCCTGTCATTTTAAGCAGGCAGCAATTACAGGTTTGCTAAAGAAGCTGGCTTCTGCTGCCAAGGATCCTATTAATTATCACTGTATCTCTAATTTAGCCTTTCCAGTGTTGAGAGAAGGCACATGTAAGCCTTCTGCTGAGCGGCTGTAATGGCATCTCCATAACAATCTTTCTGAGCTGGTTGTGTGGACTCTATGTTCAGCCAGAGGGCCAGGGTGGCCCTGGTGAGTGTTTTCATCTTTCTTCTGTAGGTTGGTCAAGTTTGGTGTGCTTGGTTTTCTCCTTCTGATTCGACCTGAGTAAGAGCCAAGGGTTGGCCTTTTCCTTGGGAATTCAGACCTATTTCCAGTCTGTTCTTGAACCAAAAAGGAGGCAGCTTGAAAACATGTAAGTGATTTTCCCACCAGCTGTTTCCTCTGTGCATGAAGAGTGAAGAAGAGATCATGGAATTGACCTTATGCCTCTCTTCCAGAAGGTAATAGTACAGATGTTAACCGGTTCGTAATAATGCAGATGTTGACCAGTGCATTCCAGTTACTGCTTCTAGTTGTGTGTGTGTGTGTGTGTGTGTGTGTGTGTGTGTGTGTGTAGGACTTTGTTCTTTATTTAATGTTGGTTCTTTTCTCTCATTGCTCAGAAGTGGCTGGATTGCTTTTGTTTGTGTTTAGAAACGTTGAGTTCACTTGTTTCAGTGTGCACTTTTTTAGAAGTTTCTGGGGCTCATTTGATCAGGGCTGGAGTGCTTATGCTTCCTTCCCCACTTTTTTTCATGTTATTTTTGGCACTGCTAGTGTTGGAAGCTGTGGAAGTGATTCACTGCAAAGTGAATTAATTTTCCACGTTTTCTGATGCGTTCCCCAGTTGCCCCTGTTTCTTTTCCCCCTGAGATGACTCTGCACTTACACTGCTGTCATTCTTGCTGGTTCAGAAAAAAATGCTGATGTCACTTGAATTTCTTAAATTACAGCTGGTAGGAATTAACAGAAATCGTAAAAGTATACCACTTCCTCATTTTGCTTTTTTCTGGACTAATTATTGTCCTTTCAAGTCCTGTGGGAGGTTGGGGACTTGGAAGCAAATTCTCTGTCTGAAGACAGTTTTCAAGTTTCTTCCTCTGTTTCTCCAGAGATAAGGTCGCCCTTAGGATGGAGCTCTGGTGTGACCTTTAGTAACCCCAGACTGGCTCCTCACTCAGGATCTTACAGGTTGGACTGTTGGACCCGTCCCTCTTCTGGGTGAAGAGTTTTCCACAACTTCCCTTAAGTAAGTTTCCTTATATAGAGCATTTTTACTCAATCGTCTCTTGCCAGCTCCAGACTGCTCTTGGTATGAGGTGAAAGGTTCTGACTCATTTGCTAAGTTCTTCAAAGCCTTTGCTCTTTGAGGAGTGCTCTCTTCAGACCCCCTTGTTCTCTTGTTTAGAATGTCTGCCACCCTCACACATTTGTTCTGTCTCCACTCCTGTCTCTAGTAGCTTCATGGCCAGGCCTCAGGCTCTCTGGTGGTTTGAATGATGGCTCTAAGAACCTGTTCTGGGAATTCCCCAGGCTTTCGATAGGCCTGTGTGGCTGCCACCTGGAGTGAGCATCAGGACAGCCATGCCCTCTTTGGCTCTATTGATTGAACTGAGCCCCATGGAAGCAGAAATAGAAGGGTTCAGCATTCGCACTTTCCTGTGCTGAGGTTTTTGCTTATTTCGTGTATTTAGAAAAAGCATCCATTTGCAAACTGCTGACTTATGATTTTCCCTGGAATGGAAACTATTTGGATTATTTCAATGGCTATAGCTAAGATTTGTTTGTTTATAGTATTGGTTTTGTTTTTTGGTGTCCTGTTTAGAATATGACCAGAATGTGTCTTTTTTTTTTTTTTTTTTTTTTTTTTAACCTTAGAGAAACAAGTGTTCCTTGGTGCTTTGGAATTTTGCAAACCTATGTGCATTTGAAATATGATGTTTACTCCACAAAGTCAAAATAGAAACTCTAAAGTGAAAATTATAGATATGTAAATATTTCTGTCTTGGAATGATTGCTTTTTTGAAGTTTTTTTTTTTCTCTTGATTAAAACATTTTCAGATTGTAGAGTACTCCCTTTCACTGTTCATTTTCTCACTAATTGATTTCTCATTGTTTTGAGAGAAAAGATTTAACAGCAGAGTTATAGATGGAAATCATGTGTGTGTCTTGACTGTTTGATGTGAGGTGGCAATGGGAACTTTGCTGTTGACTTTCACTGAGTCGATTTAGTTTAATTTTAAGATAAAAAATATAGCTTGAGAGTATGAAATAGCATTTGATTATTTGAAGAACTGTTAAGCGTCAATTCAATATTGTTAGGATGAAGTATCTTGGTTGAACCTCTGGATATCTTTTTGCTTTGAGATCTGTATATAACTACTAACATTTCCTCTGATGGTGGTGATGTTTGAATTGAGATTTGGAATGTTTTAGGAGAAGCTATAGATTAAGCACTAAGTGAACTGCAAATTTTACTAGATTGGTGATTATGCATGCTTTATTTTATCCCCACAAGTAGCACCATGGTAGAGCTAGCAATTCCTTAGTAAATATCGAATGAATCAATGTATGAATGAATCCATTGGAAATCCTGGTTGTAGGATCAGCTGTGCAGTAACTAATTGTTGGACCCTGACTTACTGTTTATGAGGAGTCTATCTCTTCTCTTGTCCAGTGAAAGGGAAGGAATAGATAAGGGCTGACTGGGAAGGGTGCTTGCTTCTCCTTGGTGGGAATTGTGAACCTCTTTCTCAGCTGCCCAAGGTCCTTTGCAACTCCAGTAGCACAGTCTTCTGTTTCTACCACTCACTGTAGTAGGGTAGATGAAGCCATGTGCTTTCTCAGAAGCTTTCTTTCTGAGGTGTTTTACTCTGCTTCTTTGACTTTGAGGCTTTTTTTCATTGTTCGAAGTCAGCAACACCCTTTGACACTTGTTGGTCAGCAGGCATTGACCTAAACAACAGCCATGGTAGCAACATGCACCCTTGGCCTCTCCTTCAGATTGTTTTGAAATATCAGCACATGTATGTACAACTTAATCAATAGCCCAGTTAGTATTCCTCTAGTGGAGTAAGAGATGAAGAGATGATGAGACCCACAGTTTCTCCCCCTTTTCCTTTGACTTTTATACATGCACCATATGGGTATTGATACCTACTGCATTCTGGACTATCTGTGCTGGGGATAAAATGTCTGCCTATAAGACACTGGATCTATCTTTTTTTGGCAGCGGGGGCGGGGGGGACAGGGTTTTTCTGTGTAGCTTTGTAGACCAGGCTGGCCTCAAACTCACAGAGATCTGCCTGCCTCTGCCTGCCGTGTGTTGGGATTAAAGGTGTGCACCACCACAACCTGGCCAGGATCTGTCTTCTTGCAGCTCACTGTGGCATAAATATGGGGCTAAATCTGTAATTGTTGCTGTGCATCTAAAAGACAGAAAGGTAGTTCTTTTGGAGGACCATGGCCTGGGCAGAAATGTCTCCTAGCAGGAGTGAACTTGACTTTATCACTGAAAGGGCATTGCTAAAGAAATGAGAGAAAAGCGTTCCAGGTGGAAGTCCTAGAGTGTGACTGGAGCTCCAGGGAGCTTGCCTGGATCTGTGTAGGTGAGGGACAATGCTGCAGTTGCCACTTGGAGGATGATCTGGAGCACGGCTACATCTCTTGTCCTGGTTCAGAAGGTTCTAGATCAGTGGTTCTCAACCTTCCTAACACATGACCCTTTAATACAGTTTCTCCTGTTGTGATGACCCCTAACCATTGAACAATTTCATTGCTATTTCATAACTGTAACTCTGCTACTGTTAGGAAATATCTCATATGCAGGTTATCTGATATGCAACCCCTGTGCAAGGATCCTTTGACCGCCTCCCCAACCCCCAAGGGGTCAGGACCCACAGGCTGAGAACCGCTGTTCCTGGTGAAACTTCTTTGTGAAAAATGACAAAACATGTGTGCTATGCCTCCATGAAGATGAGTGATGCTTGCAAGAGGGTGAAAATATCCTCCATTACAGATTTCAAGGGCAGTGAGGACAAAAGTAAGGCTGGCATACTACCTGCTGGTGACAGTAAAGTGATTGGTCACCCATTCATCCATCGACAGTCCTTCATCACATAGTCAGGAGCCTCTTCTGAACCCAGCATCATGGATAAAGCAGACATGGTCTCAGCTCTCTGGAAGCCTCTGCTCCAAGTGGAGAACAGTCTTTGAATCCTTGATGGGCATTCTATTTGTTCATCTTGTCCACATACATTTCTTTCCTCCAGCTAATTATAGACTCATGGCATGCTCCTATGACAAGAGTTGAAAGGTGTAGTTAGATATGCAGATAAGGCCCATGTCTCGCATGGCATATGCTTGCATGCATGCACAGGACCTACAGCGAAGCATTTGGGGATTCTCATAGGCAGATCTGTTTCAGGCAAAGTTCCAGACATTTCTCCATACTTTCTAAGGAATAATCCTGGCCCTTTAGTTCACAATCCAAGAAAAGTCTTAGGTCTTGTGGACCTTAAAGGTGGCTTTGATGGCTACTTTCCTGTCTGTGTTCCTGTTGTTGCCGGTGCTTGGGATTTGCATCGAGGAGTAAGAATTGGCTTCAAGGCAGCAAGACTGACAGAGGCCAGAGAAGCGCCATACTGTAAAGAGATGTTTTGGTATAGGAATGGCATTCAATTCCTCCACCAAATAGAAATGTTCCCCTAAGGTCCTCATCCAGGCCAGCATTGTCCATAATGATGCAGAGTCAAGATTCAGCTGCCTGAGTGAGACAAATTCCTAGGAAGAAAAAGCCTCAGAGCTGATCACTACAGCTAGGGGTTGCAGGTTTGGCCAGAGAGTTTGCCTTCCCTATTTTGCATGATTGGCACAGGCAGTAGCCTGCTGCTGTAAGAGCTGTGGAGTCAGCTTATTCTAGGTCTGAAGCTCAGCTGTGTTGGAAAGCAGCTGGGTGAGTCTAGGTGGATGATTAGGGCCCTCTGTCTCTTCTCCTGTGAAATGAGGTGGTGGTTAAGCACGTAAGACCTTTCCTTCAACTTGCCTGGGTTTGTATGCCTGCTCTACTGCTGCGTGACAATGGGCAGTGTGTTCTCTTTGTGTCTTAACTAACTTATCTGTACAATGATAACGACGAAGATGATAATAATAATTGTTACCTCATAAGGATGTGTTGGGAATTACACGAGATTATATGTACAGAGGGTTTAGCACAATACCGGGCACTTAATTTTCTCTCATCATTCCTTACTCA